CAATATTTTGTCACAAAAGAACGAATGTATGAGTCATCATTTTTTTTTGCAAATGACAAACACGCATAAATCCCAAAAATACATGCGTCAAAAAAGGATTCTGTATTTGTCATCTTACACAATACAAAAAGAGTAATGAAAAACATGCGACAATTGTAATAGGAGTTGATTGTGTTAAGTGTATTTGAAAATGGAAGTTTGAAGGATGAGAGTAAAATTAAAATTGATCACATCGTTAGATTTTGTTGTTTTCTATCTACAATAAACAAGATAGATGATATTTCAGTACTGTAAATAATATTTCACAGGAACGTTTTAATAGATTACGAACATTAGATTTTCTCAAGATGTTAGTTTAAATGAGAACTATATTATAATTAGGTGAAATCTTTAAGACCTTAACCTCTGATCAGTAGAAGAGATACTCTGGAAGTAAAAACGGTTGATGAGAAATAGTGTTAAGGTGAGGCCATCGAACTGATTGAACGTAGTATGTTAGTCACGTTGAGTTTACAGCTGCTAATATAATCTTTATTTTATTCTATTGACTCTTAAACTAGTTTAGACATCGTCTGACAACATCTCAACGGCTTTTATATGAGTATCAAGATGGAATGTCGAGCGTTCGTTATAACGGTGGATCATATGTAATTTTTGTTTTGGACAACTTGCATTGATGGAGGACCGGAAAGTACCTACTAATAATAAACTCATCTAAAGTTCTTTTTATAGATAGTGTTCTTTGTTTTAAAACTGGTTCAACTTGACTAGACAACGTTACGAGAACGAGACTCGTATGAACTTACTCTATGGTGCTCCCAAAAGAGCCCTTCTTCGAGAAAAACCTAAAGCCCAACATCATAATTAAAAATAAGTAGCAGTGCTATAAACTAGTATTGTGCTCACCTGGATATATACAACAATATGTCTTGAATCCAATCCAGCAATATGCGCCATCACCATGTTTATCAGTCTTCATAGTTGTCATTTCCCATGGACAGCTAGAACTCAGAAAGCATAATGGTGATTCTCCTCGCCAAAAACAATTGTATCCAGATGACTCTCTATAAATTCGAAACTCTTTACATGTGCATGATAAATTATGAAATACAATCATTGTTACAACAATTAGAATCAGTCGCGTACCATAAGCTGTCATATTTCTTATCTAAAATTATACAAAGAAATTGAAACATTACGTGAAGCAACTAAAACAAAATACAGTGCTTGTTTATTTATAGTGTTGAAGTGTTGCAATCGAATCGAAGCTCGGACGAGTACAACTACAACAAGTAAAAATATTGTGGTTGTGCTTTGAAAAATGTGCTTGTATTCAAGTACGAAAAAAAGTATTTTTATTTTGGCTTGACATGTAAATATAATATAGGTCGTCTGTGATGTGGACTAGTTCTAATAAGGTTTTTAGGAGCATTTCAATATCTTGAGATTAAAAACTCAGTATAATACAAAAGAGTAGGACATCGCACATTTTGTTTGATAACTGTTGACAAAATTATTACGAATACTTTTAAGCATCATCTGTTCTCATTATCCGAATTTCTCAAAATGATAGCCGATGTCTCTAAATTCTCATACTCATTCAAGTCATCATAATAAATAAATAAAATTCTCGACTACATTCAATATAATCTGTGTGAATTGAGATCGATGCTCTACACTCATGAACAGATTTTTGCGGTGCTACATTCTCCAGTCATTAATGTCATTTTTTATATATTGGCTGCGGAACGAATCTAATATGGAATATCAATAAAAGAATTCTTGAATATATGCGAAAACGCCGTGAAGATATGATTAAAGAAATTCGTCCTTTTTAAGAATATTAATGTTAGAATGAATGCAGTTAATCAAATCTATTTTCATATGTGACTAATAATCTCAAAAAATTTCAATAGACGGTTAAATTACTTTATCGATAAAGCTTTAACCTTCGACACATCTTTTATTGACTATAGTGATGAAATTTTATGATTCAATATTTTGTCCTGCATCCTTTTGAAACTAGCTGTGAGACTAACGGTGTATTTTGTATACACTTGGGTGTGCATGTGAGTACCAGTCTTACCTCAACCACGCCCTCAAGTACTTTTCTCACAGTACAAGTATAAGTTCAAGTACCAACTACTTTTTTTTCAAAGCATAAGTAAAAGTACCAATGCAAGTGCTTACGAGGGAACCCCACCAACTGATTAAAAGCTTTAATGCTCATATTTATGTCATAAGTAGTGCTTAGTGAGACTAGATGAATTCTAAAAGGATTTCCTTGAATGAGTCTATTTGACTAAGATATGAACATTTCAAGTTTAGAATCGAAAATGTAGATAGATTGCCTGTTGTGTATGAATTATAATATTAACATACATCAAGACAGGATTTATTGTTGAAACGCTTATTGATAAATCATGAAGCTGTTGAAAGAATTATGTTATGATGCTTATTTGATGATCTACCTACTACGTAAAAGAAATACCAAGATTGCAGTGAAAAGTCATGCGATCAATCGCCTTTCATCACGTGTAGTGGATGTCGAAAAGATCTATGTTTTGATCATTTTTCGTTAGATATTACAGTCATTAACTGTTGCGTATAAAAAACTAACAACTCGTGTTTCAGTTGTTCTAACGAATCCATTGTTTATTTTAATTTTTCTATCTATTACATCAGCGAATAAAAAGGTTTTAGACATGTCCACACTGCTCTCAGGATGATTTATGGGAAATGCGTAAAAAACTTCAATCTATAGAAATTTTGAAAAATAGATTTATCTTTGGACACATATTAATATTGTAATTCATGCACAACAGGCAATCTATCTACATTTTTGATCCTCAACTTGAAATGTTCATATCTTAGTCAAATAGGATCATTCAAGAAAATCCTTTTAGGATTCATCTAGTCTCACTAAGCACTACTTATGACGTAAATATGAGTCTTATAGGTTTTAATCACTTGGTGAGATTTCCTCGTTAGATGCCACTGTTTCGTTGAAGAATTTCATATGTGATTTATCTTCACATCATAGTTCTGAGTTTAACTAATATCCATTTTTAAAAAAGCCCTGAGTATTTTTTGAATAACTCTTGATAGAAAAGAGATAGAGAGCTGAGGTTTTCACCATTCGAAAGAGCAATGTCCGAACCATCGATTGGTATAGAACTCATAAAGACGAAAGATGTTTTTCTATAGGCATCTTCTGATCAACA